GATCAGAAGGACATTGGTCAGCTATTCTCCTCAAACACCACATCTTCCTTTTAACTTAAGTGACAAGTTATTTTCGACCGCCCCTTAGATTGTAAACCAATTTTACGACGACATATCATGATGCGAAATCCACATATGACCGACCATGTTTTGGTTTGTAAGCCAGTTGTAAACATAAAATCAGCCCGACTTACTCGTAGTCATACTCTTTCAGGACAGCCCCGTTCAGGAAGCTCTGAAGCACGTATAAGTGTACGTATTGTGGTTGAAAAGATTTGATATCTACATGACGAAAAATGAAAACTCACCACTGGGACTAAATATATGTAGTATATGTATATGCATTATATAATATATAAAATTAATAATTAATAATAATAATAATTAATTAATAAAAATTAAATATATAATATGTTAATTATATACAAGTAATAATGGTAATAATATCGAAATAAAGGTTCCGCGCTTACCTATTAATTGTACAATATGCCAGAAGTTAATAACTCTTTTCTGATCTTGATATTGACCTATGCAAGTTCATCCAGTGCCTTCCTGATCGGTACCACCACCCCGTCCCCTTTCATACGACTTTCCTTGCAACATTACTGCCAATTTTACTGATATATCCCTATGGGCTTCCTAAACGCGCATCGTTTATCGAAACATGTATCAGCTGAAAAAGCCACTGTGGATCACATGATGGCGTAGCATAAAGTAAAGTCAACCCTGATCGAAGAACCTGAACAGGTAGGTCGCGCTAGGCTTCTCGGTTGGAGACTTCCTGATTACGTTAATCCGTGGCCACAAAGTTGTAGACAATTACGCTTTTGAATCCACTCACCGTCGAGCCAAAGCTAGTTTACCTGCTTTCTGTACCATCATTCTATCACATTGTTCTCAGATCCTTTTACTTATTATTTCTCCGTCATTGGTCGACCCGGTGGTAGCCGAAAGACAGTATGCAATATCGGTGGATGACAGTGCAATGTAAGTACTTGTGCATCCTGGAATTATTGCCGGCTTACAGTCACACTTGAGAACAACCGGCATCAGACCATTGATGCTCAGGACAGCACTACGGTACTTTGCTTACTTTACTACGGCTGGCTCCTTGGAAAGGATAANAACTGTAGACCGATTCACCGATGACCGCTTGTGTTTTAGTGGTACAATTAAAAAAGGTAGTTATGGATCAACTGTCGTATTTCCCGAGCGTTATCAAAAATGACTAAAAATATCCTTCAATGAATAAAAAATATATTCTGTTTGCACCGCATGATAACAGACTGACATCGTTCTGTAAGCTGGAACGACTCGAAATTTCAAATCATTTCTGCATGTAGAGCCATTATCCTCATAAGCCCGTGGAAGAGAAATATCTACAATATTTTCAATATATATATATATATATATATATATATATATATACAAGAGATTGCGTAACTGTCTTAAAACGCGTAAACGGGACATTGCTTCACCTAGCGAGGCCTTATGTGGTTCATTATATCAAATCGCGGGGCCTTAGGTTTCCGTTTTCAATCGGTGAACAGCGGGTCTTCTCGATTAAGAGGCCCATTCCGCCTGCTGTTCATC